CCAGTTTTAGAAAAACATGTCAAAAATTTTGTTTCTAAACAGATTTTTGCTAGATGGCAAGCTGAACTAGCAATGTATCAATTTGAAATTGATTATATATGCGGACAAGATAATCATCTACCTGATTTCCTAACACGTAAATTTTTGCAGGGTATCCATGCGCTGGAATAACTCCTCCCAAAGGGGAATGAACGGAGGCAACAACAATGGTGGAAGGAGTTATACTCCAACTCACCCGTACTCGTGGAGAACTATCCACAAAAAGAAAAATACTAGTGTCCCTTCATCATCATCTTCTAAAGGGATAGAAGATTTAATTGCCAAAGAGAATGAACCTGAACCATTCTCTATAATAGTTAAAAAAGAAATAGAGTGGTCTACTAAAACCATCTCAGACACTATTCTTCATATAGAACAAGAAGATATTCCTCTTATGAAAGACGTCGACAAACTAAGACAAAAATACTTAGACACGACGTATTATCCTATAATGTCTCTTAAACCAAGAGCATAGATGAATACTATACTCATCCAAAAGGGTATGAAGATTACATATTTTTGGAGTAATGACAATCATACTGTCCCTCCAAATTTCAATAAATGTGTCATAAAAAAATCATGCTTCATAGAGATTGGGCCATGAGTCCCAACCAGGAGTTCCTTTTAATTATAACTCCAAACAAAGAAGTTTATAACTTCAATTACTGGGATTATCAATTATCCTTTTATCAGCTGTTTCTCTATCAAAATCCAAGAAATAAACATACATGACTAATTAAGCAAGAAATAAACATACATGACTAATTAAGCTATGTTCAGAAGCATTTTATAAAGGTTTACCCACCTGGTTCTACAATTGGTGGTCTAAATATGGTGCAGATCTTGAGATAGTATCAGAACCCATGTCGAAATTATAACAATGAGTCAACTCTCACCTAGTCATTCAGAAAATGAACGAGAATCAAATTCTCGAAGGTTTCTACTCAGCATATTTCTTCACTGTGGCAGAAATCCCGTGGATTTGGAATTGGTCCTTAGAAGCTGTATGAGATGAACTTCACTTACTATCTCTTCGAAGAAAATATCATAATAGCTGATGGACGAGTATGAAGGTCCAAGACAAAGTAAAACAAATAGAGAAAATTATTAAAAGAAATAACAAGATCATTGATAATAATCTTACATAGGAAATCCAAAACGAAAATCGAATGGTCAAACTAGCGAAGACAATGAAGAGGAAATACCCTCAGGCTACAGAAACTGAAATTCAGCAACAATGCCTTGAGCATATAAAGAGACAATTCTTCGAAGTATTTGACAATAGTGATACTATGTCAGCAAAGAGTACAAGTACTCAAGAGGTAGATATACCCATACCAGACGCACAGGATCCTGATGAGGAAACTGCGGAAGAAATATGGGAAACAGCCATGAGAATTCCTATAAATGAAAATGGTAAAGATATTGAGTAAATTGTAAAATATTTTTACCTATAGTCATACTGCCTACTTTACCAAAGTTATAGCTTTACTATTTTCAATTATATTGATTATATACAACCAAGTTGCCACCTAAGTGATTAATTTGAAGAAAAGTGATTCGGTGCGCTATGGGGCCCACAGTGTACCTGACACATTATTCTTTGCTTTGAGCTGAGCCTCGGGAAACAGCTTTTAGTGCTGAATGACGCATGCAATGACGTTAGAATCTACACTAGCAAAAGGCGATGTTGAAAAAATCATAAGGAAACAAAAACGTCGGCAGATAATGCGTTTGCCTTTAAGTCTTCATCAACCAACTGTCTAAAGGCAATCATTCATTTGATTCCTTTCCCAGTTATAAATAAGGCTGAAGACCTCTTAGTTTGGTGTGCTCATTTGTAGCCTTTCTCTCTGTCTTCCTTCTTCTCTCTGTCTTCCTTCTTCCTCTTGTAAATGTTAGCTGATCTAAGACCTTGTAATAAAAATTCTGATGAAATAAACTGGAAGAACCAGAAGTTTTATTGGAATTAACCGACTTTACACTGCAAGCCATTCTTTCATATTTCTGTTAAGTAATTATTCCTGAAAATTGTTATATATATATATGTATATATAATGTTATATATTTATTATATAAATATAATTAAATATATTATTTAGTATTTGAAAGAATTACGGGCTATATTGTATAGTTCACATTAAATTAACTTAAATTCTTAGCTAATAGAAAAGATCTGGTAGTTTCTTGAATTCTTATACATTATTTTATTTCTATTTCTGTCATCTGAGTCCGCTCGAAATGGTTTCTACTGTCATATTGTGCTGATTTATTCTAGGGAAAAATGTTTCCAGCCCCCAAAAGCTAAGAAAATGTGCTTTCCATCCCTAAGACTTTGTCAACGGGTGTTTTACCCCCCAAAATAAAGATTTTGTTCTCTGAGCCCCAAAACACAAAACCCAAGAGATTAAAATATGTGAAGATCATAATATCCTTCTCTCTCTCTTTTTATCATGATGTACTGAGATGATAGTTGAAATGATTGATGAGGATTATTTTATTATTTTTGTTTTTTATTATTTTTATTGTTTGTATTGGGAGATTATTAAAGTTACGGGTTAATTGTTAAGATTACGAGTTAATTGTTAAGGTTACAGGTCAATTGTTAATGTTATGAATCCTCTCTCTATCATGATGTTACTGTGATGATATTAAAATAATTGAAGGGGATTATTATTTTATTATTTTTATTTTTTATTATTTTCGTATTTTTAGAATATTCGTTGTTAAGGATAACGGTTGGTTGTAAATGTTATGCATTGATTGTTAAGGTTACAGGTTGGTTGTTAAGGTTATTGGTTTTTTGTTAAGGTTATGGGTTTGTTGTGTAGGTTATGAGTTAATTTAATTGTTAATGTTACGGGTCAATTAAGATTACGGGTTTAATTGTTAAGGTTACGGATCAATTATTAAGGTTAAAAGTTTAATTGTTAAGGTTACAGGTTTAATTGTTAAGATTACGAGTCAATTATTAAGGTTACGGGTTTAATTGTTAAGGTTACGGGTTTAATTGTTAAGGTTACGGGTCAATTATTAAGGTTACAGATTTAATTATTACGGTTACAGGTTTAATTATTAAGGTAACGGTTTAAGGTTACGAGTTTAATTGTTAAGATTACGAGTCAATTATTAAGGTTACGGGTTTAATTGTTAAGGTTACGGGTCAATTATTAAGGTTACAGATTTAATTATTACGGTTACGGGTTTAATTGTTAAAGTAACAGTTTAATTGTTAATGTTATAGGTTTAATTGTTAATGTTACGTGATTAATTGTTAAGGTTACGGGTTAATTGTTAAGGTTACAGGTCAATTATTAAGGTTACAGGTTTAATTGTTAAGATACGGGTCAATTGTTAAGGTTACGTGTTTAGTTAAGGTTACGTGTTTAATTGTTAAGGTTACGGGTCAATTGTTAAGGTTGCGGGTTTAATTATTAAGGTTACGGGTTAATTGTTAAGGTTACAGGTCAATTGTTAAGGTTACAGGTTTAATTGTTAAGGTTACGGGTTTAATTGTTAAGGTTACAGATCTCTTCTCTTTCTCTCTCTCGTAACCTTAATAATTAAACCCGTAACCTTAACAATTAAACACGTAACCTTAACAATTAAACCCGTAACCTTAACAATTAAATCCGTAACCTTAACAATTAAATCCGTAACCTTAACAATTAACCCGTAACCTACACAACAAATCCGTAACCTTAACAACCAACCCGTAACCTTAACAACCAACCCGTAACCTTCACAACCAATTCATAACCTTTACAACCAACCAACCCGTAACCTTCACAACCAATACATAACCTTTACAACCAACCATTATCCTTAACAATTAACAATTAAACCCGTAACATTAACAATTAAACCCGTAAGCTTAACAACAAACTCGTAACATACACAACAAACCCATAACCTTAACAACCAACCCGTAACCTTAACAATCAATGCATAACCTTTATAACCAATCATTATCCTTAACAACGAATATTCTAAAAATACAAAAATAATAAAAAACGAAAATAATAAAATAATAATACTCTTCAATCATTTCAATATCATCACAGTAACATCATGATAAAGAGAGAGATGATCCATAACCTTAATAATTGACCCGTAACCTTAACAATTAACTCGTAACATTAACAATTAACCCGTAACTTTAACAATCTCCCAATACAAACATCGAAAATAATAAAAATAATAAAATAATTCTCATCAATCATTTCAACTATCATCTCAGTACATCATGATAAAGAGAGAGAAAGAGAGGGAGAAGGGTATTATGGTCTTCACATATTTTAATCTCTTGGATTTTGTGTTTTGGGGTCTCAGAGAATAAAATCTTTATTTTTGGGGGCAAAACACCCGTTGACAAAGTCTTGGGGATGAGAAACACGTTTTTTTTGTCTTTTGGGGGCTGGAAGCATTTTTCCCTTTATTCTATCATAACTGTAGTCTTCCACTTGGAATTAGGTTCCTTTTCATTGTTATTGAGTTTGTACAAAAACTAATATGGAAAAATGCTTCATATTAAGTGATTTTCCTTGGTCAACATGGTTGTGCTGATACATTCTGTCATATGGTTGTCTTCCAATTAAGCACTTGAATTGGTTCTAATTGCAGTGCTAGAATATATTAGTTTATATCCTTCAACAATGGTAAGAGATTGCGGAGAGTAGTATTATTAGAGTGGGAAAGCTTTTTAGTTGAAAATACCAATCAGTTGTGACCTTGCAATTTTACTTTTTTTTATTTCTTATGATACTGTGCATTTATGAATAGGGAGTTGCATATTCTTTTTAGTTGCTATTTTCGGAGTCCTTGTTATGTTTGAGTCTTTCATAATATATTGTTATGCTTGCTTTTAAGATTGGCATTCTATCTCTAATTGTGCGTGATCTCGCAAAGTTATGTGCGATGTTTATTTTCATGCTTACTCGTTCTAATACCTGCCTTTGTAGATGAAAGCACTGCTTTTGACGCTCTCCAGACGCTGGCGGATTTGTCTTTTCATATTCTATTGCCCTCTTCTACTGTTGACTCTGGTCAGTTTCTTGTTTTAAGAAAAAAATTTAATAATTTGTAGGTCTCATATGGTATGACCGCTGCTAGAACAGTAAATAAATCCTACTTGAATCTTTAGCTTTATTATGTTATTAACATGAACAAGGGATTCTATCTTTTTTTGCTTCTTTTGTTCATGTTAAGAAATAAGAACAACAGTATCATAAAAAGATTAATTCGTGTTATGCTCATAGTTAACTTGATATATTGTTCTTTATCCACATGAAATTGTTGCTTCCAGGATGTTCTTGTGCATCTTAAATGAGTAACTTATTTACCACGTTGTTGTTTATATTGGGAGAGTATGTTATCTTGCACTTATACCTGATTGAATTGATTACCCACCTCATTTCAAGCAGACAAGATACGTCTTCTTTTGTGTTTTATGGAATTTGTTTCTGTGAGCAGTTAGTTTGAGATCTACAAGGTTATTTAGTTTAGGTCACATACAAATGATTACAAAATATTGTAGTAAGATATGTTATAGTTGGCTACCTTGAATGTTGGAGAACATCTTCTCAAAAAGGCGTGCAAAAAAGAAAAAAGAAAAAGAAAAAAGAAAAGAAAAGTCAAGAGAATATTGGATCATAAGATATATGGATTTCCAACTGTAATATTTCTTGACTGGAAAAAAGATCTGGTTTGTAGACATGAACATGAGTACTTGGACACGGACACTAGGTGCTATGCAGCTATTTAATTATATAGGCATGAGGACCGGGTTACATATAATTTTAACCTAAACAAAATAAATGTGCTGGTTTGTTATTTGCACGCAGAAGTGACCTATACAGTTTTTTCGAGCATTTCACTCCTAATTTTGAGGTGAAGCACTGTATGTGTTAGAATGGAAGGACATCGGTGTTGTGTTCTACCTGTGTCGGACACAATGATTTTGGTGACAGGAAATGTTTTCCACATTTTATGAAAAAGACATCACAACTAAGTTAACTAACTACAGTATCATCAGTACTATCAGCCCATCATAGTTAATTGATTAACAATACTAACATTAGTACTATCTTATTTAATATAGTAGTGACTGTGCACGAATACGTCTAACTGGAGAAGGCTTTCTATTGTTAGAAGAAAAGGCTTCTAGATATGGTGATTGAGAAAAAACATTAACGAGGGATTTGGTGAGCACATGTCATCAGCAATTGAGTGCAGGATAATTGTATTTTTATAAAATCCTTTCGTGTTGGCTTAAAAGTCTAATTTTCTCTCTCAATTTCTTGTTAATTTGCATGTGAGAAAAGAACTATTTTTACTGATAGAAGTTAAAAAGTTTATAACACGTACAGGTCACTTTTTTATAGTTTTTTGTCCTTTGCTTATGCATCTGTCGCGTTATATTGCTGCTAATTGGGTCACAGTATGTGTCCACCTTTCTAAATTCAATACCACTGGTCAATTTCTCATCTTCTTGACAATGTAAGAAAATTTGTCTTACCATAGTATATAGGGATGATATCAACATGACACGTCATGTTTCAGTTTTGAGTCTACAATACTGTACCATGGAAGTATGTTTATTGACAATTTTTTTTTGCATGTTCGCTGTTAATCCTCATAACTGTATCAAGTTCTTCAAATCAATTTGCAACCCGCTTCTCTTATTTTTTTTTATATCTCATTGGGTTGCTTTTTATTAAGTAACCTCTGGCTGATCACAGTTATGCTCATTAAAGAATATGTGTTGTGTATTGGAAGAATCTTTATCATTTAATGTTTTCTGAATGGCGTGTACCAATTTTGAAACCAGAACCTGTTGTCTAACTTATTTTGCGCCATTACAAGTAACTATGACGCGACCAATATCATTTTGGAGGATTTGCAGGCAAACTAGCCTGATCAGTTTGATAGTTGCAGTATTAATTTTATTTAACATGATCAGTGACTAAACTAAAGTTGGAATATTTATTATCATTTTCTTATTGTAGAGATTAACTTTTACTGTATTACGTGCGGGAAAACAAATTTCACTTTCTGCTTATAGGGAGTAATCTCATAATTTTATTTAGTTATTTATTTGATGTTTTTTCCTGTTCACCTGCAAATCCAGAGTCTTCTATCCAAGTTAAAGATGAAAAGAGAAATATTGATTGTGATGAGAAGTCTATTGTGCCTGAATCAATGTCAGCAACCCATGTTAGCGATAAGTCTAAAGTTTCAGAAAGAAAGGTCAGAGCACGTTCAACTGTGGTTGAGGTCGACGCTGTTACCCGAAAAAGTGCTAAACATGCGAAAGGGATTGTCCCTGATGCAGTTATGTCTACTGAAATAAACCAGCAAGCTGGCACGTCTAATAATAAGTTTCAGAAGAGAAAACGAAAACCATTGACTGGAAAAGTGAGCATCCTTGTGCCTAAGTCTCTTCTTTTACTTGCAGGAGAACTGCTACATGGTTGCACATGGAAACAGTGGCATTCATTTCATTGGCTCTTTTATTGTCACAGGTTTCGAAAACTGAATTTGAGAGTGCTTCCCAGAAAAGTGAAACTCAGAAGATTGAGGTATTATTCTTCATATTTCGTTCAGATTCCCTACTGTGTTGTTTGACTGGGCTGTATTTCCTGGATTTTTGTCCTTGGCTTGCGTGCATGCCCCTCATGCGCTCGAACTTACGGTATGCATATGGCAGGTTGTCTAACGTTGGTTTTCAAGTCCCATTACTTGTTAAAGGACGTGTCAATTTATGCCATTGAGCATTTATTTTTCAACATGTTGCACTACATCAATAACTGCGCAGCTCAGTTTGTTATGACATTGAATTAAATACTATCTTCCTGTTTAGTATCTTGTACCCTTTTCTATGTTATGTAAAACTTAATTTGTTATGAATATTCAGTTTGTTCATCATTCTCCTTTTTTACTTTCATGCAGGCCGCTGTTGAGGAGGGTAGGAGGTCAAATAAACTTAAGCGTTTCAACCAAGGTACTTCAATGGTGAAACAAGGAAAATCTTCCAAATCACAGGATCGTCTTTCTTCAGGTAGTACTGACCTAGCCAGAGGTGTGTCGGATTTAAATGAACCAAACATGCAAATTTCTACAACAAACCAAGTTAGTTTACCAACAAAAGTTAGGAGTCGGCGGAAACTGGAGCTGCAGAAAGCTTTGGCGGGAAAGGAATCAAAACCCAGTGAGATTACTGGAGAAGATCATTCTGATAGCCATTCACTTCGAGTTAATAACAGGATGCTTGATTCTAAGGTTATCTTTTCTCCTTTCTCTATTAGTACAATAATATATGACATTGTATCTCTTATCATTTCCATTTTTCACACAACGCAGGAAAGACTTTTGCATGGTCTATCATCTCGTCTGCTGCGCAGATGGTGTGTTTTTGAGTGGTTTTACAGTGCAATTGATTACCCATGGTTTGCTAAAACTGAGTTTGTGGAGTATCTAAATCATGTAAAATTGGGGCATGTACCAAGGCTTACTCGTGTCGAGTGGGGTGTTATACGGAGGTACTGATTTTAATGAAAGGATTTTTTGTACGATTAATCTTATACCTAATGGTGTTTTTCTTATTGATGCAGCTCTCTTGGCAAGCCACGTCGATTGTCCCGCAAGTTTTTACAGGAAGAACGGGAGAAACTTGAACAGTATCGTGAATCGGTTAGGACACATTATACTGAACTTCGAGCTGGTGTTAAAGAAGGTCTCCCCACAGATCTGGCCCGTCCTTTATCAGTTGGGCAGCGTGTTAGTGCATGTCATCCTAAAACAAGAGAAATCCATGATGGGAGTGTTCTAACTGTCGACCGAAACCGCTGCAGGGTACAATTTGATCGGCCTGAACTGGGTGTTGAATTTGTCATGGTAATCTAAGTTTTCCCCAACATTGCAATTTTTTTTTTTGCTTCCAGTTCTATTTTTCAGTTTAAGAGCTAGTCGTATGCATTTCACTGATTCCATATAGATATGTTTGATTAAAGTAAATGGTTGTGATAGTGGTGTACTCGTTTCACTTAGTCAGCTTTTCTTTGTATATCAATAACAACCAAACATACAGGTCAGGCAGCAGTATCAGATCATGTCATATTTGAATCTCAACATATGATTGGGTTGCTTCCCAAAATATGTGAGGCAAATTTTCCTAATGGTAATAAGCAGCATCTTGTATTGTAACTTTGGCTTCTGTGCTTACCACTAAATAACAGGGTATATATTGAATAATGGTAATAAGCAGCATCTTGTATTGTAACTTTGGCTTCTGTGCTTACCACTAAATAACAGGATATATATTGAATGTGAAGTTGATCTTCCAACATGAGGATATAGATTCCTAAACGTGACAACTGTAGCTAGAGTATGTTTTTCTGGTTCTATATGATGAGCTAGTCTTGCATGAATATCATGTTTTATCTTACAATCCATGTGAACTTGTCTTATATGATGCCTAATTGATTCTCATGATGTTTTTTATTATGACATCATCCATCATTTATGTGAGCTTTCAGAAACAGATTAACTTGCTTAAATAAGTTCTGCATAATTATATTTTAGCGTTGCAGGATATCATCAATTTGAAGCAATAAGTACATACTTTCAGTTGCTTCCTATATTTATCTAGTTTTGGAGGCTGGTGCCAGGTTTCATAAGATAGATGGCACTACTCGACTTTGCAGTTGTCTGACGGTTGTATTAGTTGGTTATATACCAAATGTTTTGCCAGTCAATATCAAGTTGACAACAATAACATGTTAGAATCATTTGATATACTGAAGAATCAAAGGTTGTCTGACAAATGATTATTACTGCTTTGCAAGAAATTATTTAAAGTTTCTTAATACTTTAGTGTTGGTGTCTATGGACTCATTACTAAGCAAAAATCTGCTTATTTTTTACTAGGACATTGACTGCATGCCTCTAAACCCATTTGAAAATATGCCTGAAGCCTTGAAAAGTCAGAATGCTGGAATCTACAAATTTTGTGACAGCTTGACAGATATCAAGCTAGAAGGTCAACCGAAAGATTGGAAAATTGGACTCTCGACAAAATCTCCTCCAAATGAGAGTTTGGAGATTGCTGATGGGTCATCTTATATTTCTTCTCCTAATTATCCAATGAATACCTTGATGAAGCAGGCAAAGGTTATTTAGTTTTCTCTTATATCATCTTCTTCGAAGAATTATCTTTTTTTAGCTTAAAAGACATCTTTGACAGGGAGATACAATCGACGCCATTGTACAGGCTAAGGCTGCTGTTAATGAAGTTGTTGTTGCTGCAAAACAGGCAATGTATAATCAACCTTGTACATTGGCACAAATACAAGCACGGGAAGCTGATATTAAAGCCCTTGCTGAGTTGGCACGTGCTCTTGATAAAAAGGTAATGCTTATCTATACTAATCTTGTGCATGTTGCTTTATCGTTTCTTTCATAAGAGGCATATGGTTGATTGGCCGAGCATTTTCGGGGCATTTTAGTATAATTGATACCCCTCTCTCTGTTGTGGAGTTCCTGATGTTTGAAAGTATTTATTTTTTGTTCTCAATGGAAATGATAATAATCTAAAGAAGTTATTGTAGTCACCAGATAATTTCCAGGTGTTCTTTGCCACGAAGCACAATTTACCATTGGTATACAGGCTTGGCTCTTGATTCGAACTTTATCCAGTTTGATGCCAGTATTTTAGAGAGCTTTAATGATTTCTACTGTATTCCCATAAAATTGTTGAGCTTTGCTTGAGTAATGTTTATCACATTGATAATCAAGTTAGAGACTATTATATTGATAATTAAGTAGCAATTCGAGTGCTACATTGCAGCAGTAATCTGCCTACATCATAAGCATAAATAATGTGTGAAACACACATCTAATATAAAAATTTGAATGCCCTTCATATGTTTGTGTTATGGGCCATCCGAGTAGCAATGAAAAATCCCTAGAATGTGACTTGTTCAAGTTTGGTTTGCTTTATTTTTATGGAGGTGAGTTCAGCATGAGTTTGACTGTTTGAGTTGAGCTGTACTATACATCCTATAACCCTATTTGAAAACTAATGAGCACCTTGAGCTTGGTGGGCACGCCTACTTGTGTTTGATAAGCTCGATCCTAGCTGAGGACATCTTTGGCCTTGCTTATATTATTACTTTCACAATTTCTAAAGCAACCATTAAAGATTATCCATGCATCAATTAGTCCAAAAACTACCTGTCCTCTGACAATACAACTAAAGGGACCTTATAATGAAGAAGTTTGACGTTTCATGACTTGTAGCCCATGTTTCTATTTGTCTCTTTAGTTGTATTGTTGTAAAACTGTTAATTTTTTAAATTATTTTCTGAAACAGCTTGACAAAAGGAACTGGGTAGAACTTGATATTCCTAACTTACACTAAAATTCTACTCATCCTTATATAAAATGATTTATTTGAATTAGTGGAAAAAATCATAATATTGTCTAGTATAATGTAATGACTTCAAGTCATTTGAAACTTTTCTTCTATACTAGGACAAAGCCAGAAAGGTTAGAACTTGTACTTATCCTATACAACTCAATAGTAAAACTACCGTGAAAAGATTGTGATGAGCCAAATGATGGATGATTAATACTTGTTCGTTTACATCATATCAAAATTACTCTAGGTACGAGAGACATGGTAGTATCAAAACTTTCTTCGTGTTTAAATTTATTGCAAAAAAGGTTATCTCAGTCATAGGATAAACATCATTTTATGCATGGGTTAAAAGTTTTCAAACTTCTAGATGTCTCATTTTATGTTCTTTTGGATTTGTAGATAAAGATGAATGGTGTTGTAGATTGTATAGAAGATAGGTCACCATTGGTTACTATTAATGCATACTTTGAGAATTTAATTTCCACTACAATGGTGCACATCTCAGAATGATATATCAACACCAATGCCAACAACCAAGAAAACAACTACAACCACAACCACAAATCCTTTATTCCAACTGTTGGGGGTTGGTTACATGAATCCTATTTTTTCATTCCATTTTGTTACGGATCATCTCCTCCGTTAAACTAATCTTAATCATATCATTCTTAATTCCTTCTAACCAAGCCATTCTAGGTCTATTTCTAGATCTTCTAGCTTCATTAACTCTACCATTATCGCTTTTCCTAATCGGTGTACTAAGATATCTCCGTTGTACATGATCAAACCATCTTAATGTATTCTCTCTTATTTTATCTCAATGGGCGCAATCTCTAATTTATTACGGATACACTCATTTTTTATCTTATCTTTTAATGTATATCCACAGGACCATCACAACATTCTCATTTCTGTTATATTTAATTTTTGAACATGTTTTTAATTGCCCAACACTCTGATCCATAAATCATAGTTGGTCTTGTAACCGTCCTATATAATTTTTCCTTTAGTTTTATTGGTATTCTACGATCACATAAGACTTTTAAAGCCCTCTTTCATGTTAACCATCCCGATTTGAGTCAATGCACAACATCATCTATCTCATCATCATGCTAAATGATTGATTCTAAATAGCAAAAAATGATTAATTTTAGATATTTCTTGGTCATCAATATGTACCATATGCTCTCTTTCTTTCATAGTTTTACTAAAAATACACTTTATATTCTGTTTTTGTTCTACTAATTCTAAAATCTTTAGATTCAAGAGTTTGTCTCCATCTTTCTACTTTAGAAATAATACCTCTTCTAGATTCATCAACTAATACTATATCATCGGAAAATAACATACACTATAGAATTTTATCTTGAATGTGCTTAGTAAGTTGGTCCATAACTAATGTAAAAAGATAAGGACTTAAAGCTGACGTTTGTGGGCTGTTTGGTTGGCTAAAAAAAATAAAGAAATCCATTATAAGAAACATAGTTTCTATAATTTGTTCTTTTCTTGTGTTTAGTTCACTTCTTAAAACTAAGAAAAGAGATGAGATGAGATGAGTTGTCACAATAATATTGGATGATGTGACTCATTTTTAAGAAAACCATTTCATGATTTTTTTGAGGAAATGGATGGGATCAACTTTTAATAGTTTCCTTATCCTATTTTTTTTCCTTTGATTTTAGAAAATCAACCAAACAAGCCCTTGGTGTAAATCTATGGTAATAGAAAATGGTTTAGTCTCTCATTCATTAGTTCTTCCTCTAGTTGTTTCTCTATTAGACATCTTTAACCACATCAATATATATACTAGATTCATGTTTCTTTTCTAACATCCACCACATTACTTCTCTAGGCACTCTATTATAAGTTTTTTCTAGATTGATAAAAATCATATGTAGATCCTTTTTATTCTCTCTATATCTCATCAACCGTCTCAAAATATGTATAGATTTTATAGTTAACCTCTTAGGCATAAAATCAAATTTATTTTTAGATATATTTATCTTTTTTCTTAGTTTTTGCTCAATTACCCTATCCCAAAGTTTCATAGTATGACTCATGAGTTTTATATCTCGATAATTTGAACAACTTTGTATATCCCCTTTATTCTTATACATCGATATCAAAGTAAAAATCCTCCACTCATCTGACATTCTTTTCGTCTCGATAATCTTATTAAATAGTTTAGTTAACCATCCTAAGCCTATATCTCCAAGCCATTTCCAAACTTGAATAGGAACATCGTCCGGTGGTTTGACTCTTCCACTTTTTATTTTTTTAGAGCATCTTTAACCTCGCTAATTCTAATTTTTCGATAATATCTAAAGTTTCTATCATTCACTATATGGTCAAAATTTCTATTTTGCTCGCTTGTTAGTTATCATTAAACAATCGATAAAAGTAACTCCTCCACCTCTCTTTTATTTCCCCGTCAGTTAGTAGAACTCTTTGATCCTCACTTTTAATACGCATAACATTGCCCAAATCTCTTCTCTTTTTTTCTCTAATCTTAGTAAGCTTATATATATCTTTCTCTCCATCCTTAGATTCTAACTTCTTATAAAAAATTTCATAAGCCTTGTGTTTCCTTACTAGTTTATATTTTTTTAAGTTTTCCCTATTACACTCTGGCCACTCTTTATATAAAATTTTCTTCTCCAATAATCTTTTGCACTCTCATTCCACCACCCGCTCTCATTACTGTTTAATCTACAATCTTTAGATTTTTCTAGTATATCTTTAGTCACTTTTCTAATATAAGAAGACATGCTAATCTACATAATATTAGTCTCATTATCTATGTTCTATATATCTTCTTTCATGTGACGTCCCTGTTTTCACACATAGCTGCAGTCCAAGATGAATCCAGAGATGTCAAACCTGTCATGCATCCACATTGTGCAACAAGTTTTATCAATCACAGTAATATCCTCTAGTAGAATCAAAATAAAATGCAGATACAAAACATACAAAAGAAAGAAAATAACTACAATAGACATGATATAGAAAGAAGTATCTTATAAATAAATCATGTCTTAATGAACAACTTGGAATACATCTGATATCCAAAATGAATAAATATGTCTCGACAAGAAACAACTGAAAATCGTACTAAGACACTGTCTTTACACTATGAAATAAACTCTAAGGTCTGAACAAAAATATAAAATTACGGTGGAACTTCTAATAAATCTCATGTGACGGCGACTATGCAAGAACTCTGTCATCCTGCGACTCTTCGGTACTCCGAATTATCTGAAAGAATATTAGAAGAAAAAGAACCAAAAGAGCGTCATAACGCTATAGCAAGATTATCTTTATTTGCCCTCAGGGGAAGGGCTGCTAGATGGAGTGGATGCTCTATCTATTAAGCATAGTCTACCTAGATCATTTTCTCCTGTATCTAATGAAATTAATATTTAGACACCTATAATATGAGACGTAGTACGTCGAGCGAAATAATCCAAACAAGAAAACCCTCATATATATACCATATGTCCCGAATTGTATACACTTAAACATTAACACCGAACTAGAGATAAACAATCGAAATAAAATCAACAATTAGAAATCTACAACACGAGACTGGACGTCGAGCGAAATAATCCAAACAAGAAAACCCTCATGTATTTACCATATGTCTCAAATTGTGAATCGCTAATTATTGATCCTAACTAAAAAAATAAAGAAAAACAATAAAAAAAGTAAAGACATCAACATATCGTATTCATAATATCTTCCATTGTTACTGAAAAGATAGAATGAATACCGGTACAAATCCCGTGTACTCTCAAATGCAAAGTACTTTGGGTCATATATTTCAGCAGTGAGTCAAAAACATAACTGACATCCGCCAATGACTCGGACTATCATTTAACTATCTCAATGTAACTTCGTACAAGATTTTGATTCATCGCATCATCATGCGGGACGGACTATCCGATCGGTATCCTAACAATGTACACGACTCATTAGTCTCATTGCATTTCTGTACGTAACACGAGTGCGGGACGGACTTCCAAGTAGGCATTCTAGAAGTATGACTCACAAGCCTCATCGCACCCTCATACGAACGGACTGCTAGATAAAGCATCCAAACCCGATTCAATGGCCTGTATAAATGGAATATCGACGCACTACCCCCGTAGTACTGAACTGAGCTCATCAACGATATCCAGAAGGTGTGTGTAATATGTACTAAACTCTTTCTCAAAGTAATCGGGTCAAAACCCATTATAATTTCTTTCAGCATACCCATGCGTGTGTGCTACTACACTTCGTGAATTTACGTATAAAGAACTGTGGCTTGCAACCCGCAAACATATCTCAAACAGATGCAAAACAAAAATTCAGGCAACAACCTTAGTAGTCGACTACACTGAGTCCATCCAGACTCTGTGATAACATATATCAGTATCAGTAGTCGACTATTAAGAACATTAGTCGACTACTTTGCAAACACAGTTTCTGTTATACTCAACTGGGCACGAGTAGCCGACTACTAAGCTTAGTAGTTGACTACTCTAACAAGACACATTCTTTTGTGCACAAATAATACTTATGTTAATTGTGCATATCATGACGTTAAAACGGTATTTTATACTTGGCATATGCAACATGAATTATCTAAATCATTAAATTAAATTATTATATCTTCCAAATTAGGGTTTAACATCTTAATTAAATAATTTCTTCAATTATCTCATATGCAAACAAAGTGATTATCAACACATGGATAAAACTACTTATGAACAAAGGTAAAATTTATTTAAACATATTTATCTTACTTAGGTATCACAAACCTAGGGTTTAAACATGATTACTTAACATGAAAACTCAAAGAAACTTTAACGTAATATATCAATTATTTTAAATCAGCATATCTGTAGTTTTTTGTAGAACATATCATTAGTAAATTGAGCATATCTTTCTCTAGACAGACTCTTTTTAAGAATAGTTTTCTGTTTTGAAAACTAGATCCACATAGCTATCATTTGACACTGATTTGGTTCAGTTTGGAGTTTATATGATATCTCAAATTTTTAGTTAAAGGTTACACACGTGCATCAATTTTCTGGAGAATATGTCATTAGTAAATTGAGTATATCTTTCTCTATAAAAACTCTTTCTTAGAATGGTTTTCCGTTTTGGAAAATGAGTAAAATGGAGAACCTTGGTACCAAGTTGCTTAAAGCAACTTGGTAGTGATGTGGCCTAATCTTGCCCCTACATTACACCTCGAAGATAGAGTCTCAACCACCCTTCATCAACTCCAATGTAGATGTAGGGACAAGATTAGGCCACATCACTGCCAAGTTGTTTAGAGCAACTTGGCACCAAGTTTCTCCATTTTTCTCTTGGAAAATAGGTTCACATAGCATTCATTTAACACTGGTTATGTTCAGTTTGGAGTTTGTATGATATCTTAAATTTTCAGTTAAATGTTATACACGTGCAGTCGTTTTCTAAAATCTATGATGAAAACAAAAACTAAACCTCTTTATAATTCAATTAGACAACGAATTAGGGTTAACACACGAGTTAAACATAATTATCAAGTTAAAAAAATTTAATCACCCCTAATAATCATGATCACATTACTATCATAAACAATTAGGAAAAGCTAATGATCTAGCATTGGGTTAAGATTTATCATCAAAAATCTCATCTTTATCATATTAGGTTAAGCCTTAAGCATGAAAATATTGATTAAACACTTTTATAATTATTAAATACTATGGGGATGAGTTTGGATACATATGATCTTGCCTTATCACGTGTGCAAGCCTCTGAAACTGATGTGAATCGACTCCTCGTCGCCAAACGTTGTAGATCTCGAATTTTCCTCGCTTCTCGCCTCACAAGACGCTCCCAAAATCTCAACTTTAGGGCTAGGGTTTGAGAGAGAGAGGAAGAGGGGCTGTTAGGGTTTGAATTTCTGATGAAAAGATGATAATTTTCGTAAAAACACATGTATATATATATGCAAATCCGAAATAAACCTGTTTGATCCGAACCAGGAAATCTAGTCTGACTAGAAAAATAATCTTCGGTATTTTGGTCTAACATTCTTATCCGACCTCGGAATGAGGTGATTTAAGATTTGTTGGAAAGATATTGAAGAGACCTACAACTTGGTGTTTTGAGTTTTTCGAGATTCAAACCGCATCAGTGTGTAAAATATATAAACTCTTAACTGATCATTTTTTTCAGATTTCTCTTCGTGCATGTTTTGTGCATTTGCACTCATATTCACAAATATACATTGAATTGATCTCAAATCAATTCCTATCATACTCAAACATCAAAATATGTTATATTTTCACCATATAACATTATTATTATTATTTTTCACATAATATTCAAATTTTTGGGGTTTTACATTTTATTATCTTATCTTTAAAATGTATTAAATTCTCTCATTTTAAATTCCACCCCTTAGCTGTTAGTCTCTTGTTCACGTTAGTTTTTCTACTCCACTTAATAGATATGTCTAAGATCATCAATCTATGTTGTATACTTAAACTCCTGGTATAACTATACAATCTTTGCATATTAATCTATCCGCCATTCTAGTTAGAAAAAGTCTTATTTGACTATAATTAAAATTATATTTAAAGGTTATTAAGTGTTTGCCCCTTTTTCTAAGAAGTGTATTTGCTTGTACTGGTCTCCTACCATTTTCCTTCTTAGACCGTTTTCGTCTATGCCTAATACTATTAGGTAACCTATCAGAGGATTGTAGATTCTTAGAACACCCTTACTTACTTGTCATTACACCGCGATGACATCGAGGGGACGTCCTAGCAAACCACCCTTGCTTACTTATCATTGCATCGGGGTAACATCGATGCAACGCGTCGTGATGGGGACGTCCTAACGAGTACATAATAGCATTCATTTTTCATGTGGATCCGACTATGTTTTACGTTGGCTGTCGGCTACCTAACATAACCATCCTCTTTTATCCTGGCTTGGGACAGGCAGTGCTGCCAATAAACGTAGCACTGACGGAGTTGCCAGCAACCAAGAAAACCAACCACAAAATAAAATTTCAATACAACCACCTTCATACTCTGAATCACAACTCCAAAGCCACTTTTAATGTTCTTTGAATTTGCCCCCCACCTTACTCTTTTGACATATAAACTGTATAGTTTCTGAATGGCATCCGCCATCCAGGTGATTCTAAATTTGCATTCTTCACCTGGGGCTATGTTCTTGTCAATGTCTTGTAATATATGTTATTATGTATGAATCTGCATTCAGTTAAAATTTTCTAGTATATATTGGATTTTTCTAGGCTTAAACTCCATGTCAGATTATGCGGTGGATAGAATCTTATGTCGGCTACCTAACATAACCATCCTCTTTTATCCTGGCTTGGGACAGGCAGTGCTGCCAATAAACGTAGCACTGACGGAGTTGCCAGCAACCAAGAAAACCAACCACAAAATAAAATTTCAATACAACCACCTTCATACTCTGAATCACAACTCCAAAGCCACTTTTAATGTTCTTTGAATTTGCCCCCCACCTTACTCTTTTGACATATAAACTGTATAGTTTCTGAATGGCATCCGCCATCCAGGTGATTCTAAATTTGCATTCTTCACCTGGGGCTATGTTCTTGTCAATGTCTTGTAATATATGTTATTATGTATGAATCTGCATTCAGTTAAAATTTTCTAGTATATATTGGATTTTTCTAGGCTTAAACTCCATGTCAGATTATGCGGTGGATAGAATCTTATTCATTTCTTTTTGTTGGAATTTATAGGAAGCACTGCTGATAGAGTTGAGACATATGAATGAAGAAGTATCTGGAAGCCAGAAAGGTAGTAGCACAATTACTGATTTGGAGAATTTCAGGAAGCAGTATGCAGTAGTGCTTCTACAGCTAAGGGATGCCAATGATCAGGTAAAATTCATCTAGATTTTTCATTTTGAGTATCACTTTCATCTCCAAGTTGTCATTTGCAGGTTTCAATTGCTTCCATTATAAATAGGGCTATGAAGATGTTAACCATCTGCTTTATTTAGGTTGCATCTGCTCTGCTCTACATGAGGCAACGTAACACTTATCCTGGAAATTCCACACCTCCATGGCAAAAGTCTATTGATGGTTCTGCCATTCCTGTTGCACATCAAGGCTCTTTCAATCCTCTGCTTCTCTCTCAGGATTCAGGATCTGATGTACTAGAAATTGTCCAAAGTTCAAGGCAAAAAGCTAGGTCTATGGTTGATGTGGCTGTGCAGGTATATATTACAGTTCAAGTATCTTCAACTGCAACAAAAAAGCATAACCACTTTTGTCAATGATTCCATCAATGATAACAAGCCTTTATTCCAATCTTTTGAATTGGCTAAATGAATCCTGTTATCCCGATCATTTGAGGTTAGCTGCATGAATCCTCGTCCATTTAGCTTATTATCCTTCCTCTTCTTTAAAATCAGTATAACCTTCTTTCTTTGTTACACTATTACTGTATTTGGTGTTTTTTGAAACCCCTAATATCTTAACCTTTAAGTCCTGTCTTGCCCTAGGCCTGTGAGCTTGTTAGCGCGATGTAAGCCATAGGATCCATTGAGCATAGCACATAGTTTGGCTCAATCCGCTACTAAATTGACTAGTCAATGTTGCACTTGACTCCTTGGACTTACATTATAAACTATTCAATCACTCAATCAATATCTGACGTGTGACTAAATCTTGGGGTATCATAAGTCCACTTTTGTTCTACTCATCCTGGTTTAACACTTAAAGTTCAGTATCCTTGCTTTGGCATTATTCTACCATCTTAGCACATCCAGGATCTCCAATTAATGTTGTTTTCAAGATTTCCTGGCTTGAGCATCTTATTACATATGATAGGTTATCTGATATTTTCTTTAATGTTGTCCGTACATGACAGGCAACACGTGGCTTGAAAGAAGGAGAAGATGCTTTTATTAGAATTGGGGAGGCATTAGGTCTTCCCAGTAGGAATTCCAACTCGAGGTATATTCCTTCTGAGCCAGCACATGAGAATTCAGCATATCAGGACCGCCCGACTTCATGCAAGTTAGAGGGAGCTGCTGGTCATACTTTTAGTCCAAAACCCAATATATCAAATGATGGAAACGAACAGCAACTTCCAGCAGATATGATATCCAACTGTGTGGCGACACTGTTTATGATACAGGTAAAGTGGAAAATTGTTTTACTGCCTCTGTTTCCTATGTAAATGCATGCAAATGTGTAATGGTTGGAGATTTCCTAGTGTTGCTATTTCCATACGTCTGTTATGAACCCAGTAGATAATATGCTGTACTTAACATGTTACTGACAGTTTTCGCATTCACAATTTAAGGCGCTGTCACCTGTGGATATTGGTTGTAGGTTAGGCATATTTTGTGTACCTAGTATTGCATATAATCAATCAACTTACCGACCTCCTGATGTCTTGGAAAGTTCCATGCCAGTTGCTGCTCACAATACTGGATAGCATGTAAATAGCTATCATATTTTGTTAATGAGTTTTTTCACTTAAAATCAGTGTGGCATGGGCTGATCCGTGTCGGATATGTATCGGACAAGAACACTTCTTGGGTACTCAGTTGCGTATCAGATCCTTTGCAAACATGTCCTTGCTTTTTATATTATGTTCTTTTCTGATAATTTTTGTTTTTCATCTTGATCTTGGATGCATTTAGATTCCTTTTATGATTACTAAATGCTCATTTAATACTAATTGCACTAAGATATGCATTTATTATCCGCCGTGGGTTAAAAATCATATTTTATGGGGAGAAGATCAACATATGACTTTGATATAATAATGATAAAAGCTATATCCTTTCTTACAATGCAGAACTGTGCGGAAAGACAATACCCACCAGCTGAAGTTGCACAGGTTCTTGATTCTGCTGTTACAAGCTTGCAGCCTAGTTGTCCTCAAAACTTGCCAGTTTACAGGGAGATAGAAACATGTATGGGCATCATCAAAAACCAAATGTTGGCATTGATACCAACTCAAAGTACTTGTTCTGCTGAGGCTTCGATGGTGTAAAGAATGAGGTCCACGCATTGTTTGTCGTATTTTTCCTTTGATGTTGTCAATCTGTCTTATTTCATTTTTTGCCTCATTTTTCCCCCTGTATTGTCAAATGATGCGGGAGTTCCCCGTGCATAGCCGGTTAAGAATCACATATACATAAGCTGTGTAATATATGTCATTTTTTAAATGCAAATCCTCGTCATCGTTTTCATGCCTGTTGTGCTCCTCTTTATGGGTTAATTTGTCTGGACTATATATGTTTTAATTTGTAGTCTTTGCTCGAGTAATATGTTATCTGTCAGACCGTACAAGGTCTTTCAAGTGTTATGAAGCTTCACAATCTATAGTAAGTTGTGTAGGTGTCTGTTTTATCAAGCAGGATGAACTAGTTTTTGAGAATGCGCTGTTTATTTGTTAAGATGATCCGAAGTCGAAACAGCACTCCGAGCCTTTGATCGAATCTTCAAGCAGTAACAAGTGGAAAAAGGCGCGCACACGCTCACGTATTGAAGAGGAAGAAGAGGAATTGTTGCACCTAGCAAATAAAATACTCTTATGAAAGACAACAAAAATACAAGGAAACAAAACACTTGACCGACTGTTTTTCCCCACAGCAGCCCACTCTTTTTATAGTCTACTGGCAACATAAGAAATTAAAAACTGAAAACGCGACGTGCAGTTTGTGGCCTTGACGCGTGCGTATGTGGTCCGAGTCTTTAGGTATGTGTAATTACCAAACAAGAGAATAATCCTCGTACTGTTGGGTGTGATTACCAAACAAGAGAATAATCCTCGTACTGTTGGGCGTGATTACCAAACAAGAGAATAATCCTCGTACCGTTGGGTAGATGTATGTGTGTAGGACCACCTATCCAACAAACTCCTTGAATGCAGTCACGTCCAAGTCTTTTTGAAAGCAACTACACCCACATCCCTTGCATACAACCACGTCCATCCAAGTCCTTGCGTGTAGTCACGTCCGCGGCATATGTGACCATGGACTTGCGAATTATTCCCGAGACTCTCTCATGCGTTCGTCGATCGTCTCAGATCATGGGTCCCTTTTTTTAAAGAAAGGAGCCGGCTCCTGCTGGCTTTCAAAACTAAAGGTGGCTTTCAAAACTGAAGGTGCGGGAATTGAGCTTGACCGCTCTCCCGTGTGTACCACTTTGCTACTCTTGCACGCTGACCCTTTTGGCCAACTCAGAATGCCTCCTTGGTATCACGTCGAGTCGTGGTTATCTTCTTCTCTAGTATCACATCTTCACTTAAAGCCGCTTCCCTTTGATATATCAAATCTTTCATGGATGGTAATATTGCTTCAGGATCATCATCCAACATGGATGGCTCAAAAAGTTTGAGATGCTCAACATTGACCACTGAATATATGTCAATGTAAGGAGGAAGCTCGAGCTTACAAGCATTATCACCGATTTTCCGTAGAATTTTGAACAGACCATAACAGATCGGTTTCAACTTTTTTACCTTCACCTTTGAGTCGTTCTTTGCTTAAGTGGAGCCAAACAAGATCACCTTCCTGGAAGTTTGCTTCGACTCGGTGTCGGTCATGCCGCGCCTTATATTTCTGTTGAGCTCTTTGCAAATTCTTCTCCACCTCACCATGAAGACGATGGATTCCCTCTGGAAAACGTTGTGCTTTCTCTTGGTCATTCTCCTCTTTGGTGGTTTGCGGTCTGGACATGACCGTGAACTCCAAGTCGAATGGGCTCTGTAGTTGAAAGCCCAAGCATACCTCGAAATGAGGCTTCTCCGTTGAACTATGTACAGTTTGATTGAAGGCGAACTGCAAATACGGGATGCTCTCATCCCATGTTTTTGGATGACGTGAATTGTAGCCTCTTAGAAGATAAACAACCGTACAATTGACCACCTCGGTCTGGCCGTCAGTTTGAGGGTGAAAGGCTGTACTCCGCTTCAACTTCGTGTCCATCATCGCCCAAAGAGAACACCAAAAGTGGCTAAGAAAACGACTATCACGACTAGACACAATGGAGCTCGGTAGCTCAAAATGTGCCAAAACATGTTGAAAGAATAGTCGTGCCGTCTCCTCTCCGAAAATTGTCTTCTTGCATGGAATGAGCACCACCATTTTTTGAAAAGCGATCAACTACCACAAAGAGATAGTCATTGCCTCGTCGAGTCTTCGGTTGGCCTCCAAGAAAATCCATTGTGATGCTTTCCTATGGATGAGATAGAACCGGCAAGGAGGTATACAAACCCAACTTCCGATTCGCGGGCTTAGAAGTGTTGCATAGAATGCAGCCCCTCACAGAGCGCGCCACATCTTGCTTCATGCGTGGCCAAAAGACATGTCGTTGGAGATTTTGTAGCATCTCCGTAACTCTGAAGTGGCCAGCAACCTTCAAAGTGTGTGTTTCACACATCCATTGAACTCGGTTCGCCTCACGCGACACACACAAAAGTGCGCCTTTGTAAAGAAGTCCATCACGTAAGGCAAACTCCGATGGCCTTCCCGTCTCAAGGTCAGCTAGTACATCATGGAAATCAGGATCCTCCTAGTACCAACTTGCATATTCCTCGTGATAAGAGGGTTCAACATGCATAAAAATAGATAAACAAATTGCCGTGACTAGAGGCCGTGAAAACATGTCAGCTAGCTTGTTGTGGACACCCTTCTTATACTTGATCACCAAGTTGAATTGTTGGAGATATGTCATCCATTTCATATGATATGCTTGTTGTAGTTTAGATTGAGTTTGCAAGTATTGAAGTGGCCGATGGTCAGTGTGTACCACTGTTTCCTTGCCCAAGAGATAAACATGCCAATGTTTCACTGCTTGGTGTAGAGCGAACAACTCTTTGTCATACGTCGGGTAGTTCTTTTGAGCCCCTTGGAACAACTCTGAATGGTACGCCACGGGTCGATCGTCTTGCATAAGAACAACACCCATGGTATAACCGGATGCATCTGCCTCTAGCTCGAAGGGCTTTGAAGATTAGGCAAGGCAAGAACTGGCGCCTTGCTTATCTTCCTCTTCAACAAAAGAAACGTGTCCTCATGTTTTAGAGTCCACTCAAATTTCTGGTTGGCCTTGGTTAGAGCGTGTAAAGGAGAAGCCAAAACAAAAAAAATGACGGATGAACTTATGAAGGTATTGATAAGCACCCATAAAACTTCCAACTTTCATCACCGATCGAGGTCTTGGCCACTCCTTGATGGCCTTCACCTTGTCGGGGTTGATTTGCAGTTCACCACCACCAACCATGAAGCCGAGGTATAATAAGGTTTGCTTGCCAAACTCGTACTTCTTGCTGTTGAGGCATAGTTGATGTTGCTCCAATATTTTGAACACCTTCTCCACATGTATTAGGTGTTCTTCCTATGATCGACTATATATCAATAGGTCGTCGAGGTAGACTATCACAAAGTCGTCAATGAAAGGCCGCAAGACATCATTCATGAGCCACATAAATGTTGCAGGAGCGTTGCAAAGTCCGAATGACATCACTAACCACTCGAACAGACCTTGGCACATCTTGAATGCAGTCTTCCAAGTGTCTTCCTCACGAACCCGAACTTGGTGGTATCCGAATTTTAGGTCCAGCTTGGTGAAGATGGTTGCATGCTTCAGTTGGTTAAGCAAGTCGTCGATGCGAGGGAGAGGATATTGATTCTTGACAGTGATCTTGTTAATGTCACGATAGTCGATGCATATACGCCAACCTCCATCTTTCTTAGGTACGAGCACCACCGGAGATCCCTAGAGCTACTTGGTTATATGACACCATTCTCAAGCAACTCATTAATTTGTCTCTTGATCACTTTGTTCCCCAACACCGAGTTACGATACATGCTGAGGTTGGGAAGTGGTGCATCAGAGATGAGTTGAATTTCATGCTCCACTGTTCGCTTTGGTGGCGGCCCACAGACTTCCTCAAAAAGTTCAAAATATTCCTTGAGGAGGCTTGTTAATTTTCCGTCATGCTCCCTACAAGACAAGGTTAGAGCAGAAAATGCGCTAACATCTTGGGCTACTGAGCGGATCATTACCAATACATATTTTTGACATGCATTGATGACTCGCTTCGCTTGACAAGCCGTCACTAACTCGGTGGTATTAATGTGGCTGTCCTTGGTGATGACGAATTCTTCGCTTGACAAGCCGTCACTAACTCGGTGGTATTAATGTGGCTGTCCTTGGTGATGACGAATTTCTCCCCATCTTTTGTGAGCTCATATTCTTGAACTTGTCAGTGAAAGTGAGCGTCATGGTCATATAGGTATGGGCTGTCGAAAATTACTTGGCAAATATCTATAGGTACGATGTCACATTGCACCTCGTCGATGTAGCGGGAGGATATTGCGAAGCGTACAGTACACCGGCTGTCAACTTGCTGGTTTTCATCGGAAGTAAACCATCCTAGTGGGTATGGTCATGGGTGGTTGTGACGGCTTTCGTCTCAGGCCAAGGTTTGCTGAATCTAAAGCCTTCCAAAGGGCGGTCTGAAGCTAGATGTTCTTTTGCTGCCCTGGGGGCATGAAGATAGTGAGATTTGGCCTTCCAACAAACTGTCCTTAGGACTGTTGACTTGGGGCAATGTACTGATGAAATAACATTCGCTGACTGCCAGACTGGAACACGAGTCTGCGAGTGACTGGTAAGCACCGGCGCATGTCAATCTATGACTGGTTAGTTAGTCCGAATCAAAGCATAGAGGTCGTGTCCGCTTGCTCAACCTAATTTAATCAGACGGGTTCACCTTTTGAAGGTGTCGACGTAGCCGTAGCCGCTCTTTTGCAATGTTCATCCTTTTCCCCCTTCTTTGGACGAAGCTCGGGATGAAGCTTGAAACACCTTTCTTTGGTATGCCCTTTAGCTTTGCAATGCTCACAAATAATGTCAGCTTTAGAGGGAGATGTGGAAGAGATACCTTGCTTAGAACTCTTCTTCTTCATAGGTTTGGATGAACTCTCTCCCTTGCTGTTGTCGCCATGGGATTTGTTCTTCTTCTCGATTGCCATAGCAGTTGTACTCGCGCTAGAGAGGTCGTGAACCCAAAACAAGTTCAAATCAGCGCAGATCTCCTTGTGTAACCCCAACGTATATTTTCTGAACGTCTGTGGATCTGAAAGAGATACGCCAAGGGCCATCACTTGCCTCCGAAACTTCGTGGTGTAGTCCTGGATAGATTGCTCACGCCATTGTCGCAAACGGTGCCAATGTTCGCACCTTTCTTCAAGGTATCCCATTGGATAAAACTCCTGCATGAGGATCCGCTTGAATTGGCCCTATATCATGCCTTCAGCGTCGCTCGCCACGTACGCCTTCCACCACATCTTGGCATGATCAGTCATCTTGAGTGGAGCGAACTTGACCTTCTGGACACTACTAAAACCTCGAAGGGTAAAGTAGGTCTCAAGTTGGTCAATCCACGAGTCAAGCTTGTCGGCGTCGATCGTGCCATCGAACGTTGGTATGTCGACCTTAGCCTCAACGTTAAAAGGCCCATCGGCTTTGGAAGACATGCTAGCATCGCCGTCGGTGTCGTGGTTGTCATCATCATCGTCGTCGCTGCCTCCCTCATGTTGGTTCGAACTGCTCCCAAACCTCATCTTGTCAGACGTCGATCTCGCCTTAACAGAGGCATTGATTTCTCTGCCGCCTTCAGGTTGCGAGGTTGTGGCTTGTTGCTTTATCCAAGCAAGAGCAACTCCCATATTAACGGAGAGCTTGGACACTTGTTCGGCCAAACTAGCTTCAGCTAGAGTTTCGTCAGTCGACATTGATGTAGACGCGATTGTCGGGGCCGTCAGGTGCTCGCCTTGGAAGGTAACCAGCTGTCGTGGAGTCTCATCGGTCTTATCTTAACCAAAGCGAGTCTTCACCATCCATAGGGAGAACGAGGCTCTGATACCAAGTTGATCCGAAGTCGAAAGGCAACAACACTCTGAGCCTTCGATTGAATCTTCGAGCAGTAATAAGTGGAAGAAGGTGCACACACACTCACGTATTGAAGATGAATTGTTGCACCTAACAAGTAAAATGCTCTTATGAAAGACAACAAATATACAAGGAAACAAAATACTTGACCGGTTGCTTTTTCCCACAACAGCTTACTCTTTTTATAGTCTACTGGTAACATAAGAAATTAAAAACTGAAAACGTGACGTGCAGTTTGTGACCTTGACGCATGCGTATGTGGTCCGAGTCTTCAGGGATGCGTGATTACCAAACAAGAGAATAATCCTCGTACCGTTGGGTAGATGCATGAGTGTAGGACCACCTATTCAACAAACTCCTTGAATGCAACCACGTCCAAGTCTTTTTGAAAGCAACTACACCCACATCCCTTGCCTACAGCCACGTCCACCCAAGTCCTTGCATGAAGCCACGTCTGCGGCATGCGACCATGGACTTGTGAATCATTTCCGAGACTCTCTCCTGCGTTCGTCGATCGTCTCGGATCATTAGATGATACCAGCTGACGGAATCCTTAAATTCCACAAAGAAGTCCATGTCTGAAGTCTACCTGAATGTGCAAAATTCATGGGTATAGTATTGAACACTGGAGTTCATTTTTCTAAGAGATTCCTTTTTTTTTTAAATATTACAATCGCTTTCTATTTTATTATGAAACTGTAATTTGTTCGGGGGAAATTCTTGTCTAGCATTTTGCTTTGCAGTAGAAGTATATCCTGGATTAATCTTGCGAACACACAGTTCATTAGCGTATCAATTTCAAATAATAAGTATCATAATATGTTTATGGAAGATTTTCTTGATCGATGGTTATGGAAGATTGAAGGTGAAAACGACTGAATCTCAACGTAACAATACTGAAATTGAAGAGTGAATTAAATGAGTGTTTAAATAGTAAACAGAACCACGAAAAAAATTATTCCAAATAAATAAAATCATGTTCCTTTCCCTTGCAGAAAATTAACAAAACAAAGTCATAAATTTCCAGAAAACGCCTAACACTTATCAAAGCCTAAACATATTCAACAAGTGGTTGAATCAACTCTAAAACCTCCCTCAGTTAATAAACAAGCTCCACATCAACATCAAAACTCACACTACTGTCTCCAATCACAATCTTATGCGCTCCAGCGGGCAAAACTCTATACGCAGTTTTCTCAACCACACTCAACCGCTGGCACACGTTAACCGAAAACTTCACCACCTGCGACTTCCCAGCCCCCACAAACACCCTATCAAAAGCCACCACCTGTTTAATAGGCGCTCCATCAACATACTCCGGCGGAACAGCGTACACGATCACAGCATCACTCCCATCCACTTTGCCAATATTTGCAACCTCAACCTCAAAATCAATAGTCTCATTGCATGGCATCGTGGTGATTACGGCAGAGGGGCATTGAGGTGACGTGGCACTGTTTTTGGTGGAAATTTGGAGGCATTTTTGGTATTTTTCGAGCTTGGTCTCGATTTTGGTGGGGTTTGCTTTGAGCGTGTAGTTGAAGGTTGTGTAGCTGAGACCGTAGCCGAAGGGGTACACTGTTGGGCCGTCGTAGAATTTGTAGGTTCGGCCTGGATAGCCCAATTCTTGATCGGGCCTGAATTGCATTGATGTCATTGGGATGGATTCCGTGTAGTTGTTTGGGTACCATGTAATTGGAAGTCTTCCACCTGAAATGATATTGAAATATTACTGTGTTAATTTTCTATAAAGTTTTAAGGAAAAATACAATAAATTTTCTTTCCGTTTATGCAACCACAATAAAAAAAAAAGAAAAAATAAAAAAGATTAAGCAAAAAACATCCCATCTGTCAGCCGCACCTTTTGAGAAGAGCCTCACCCACCTTTTTGGCAATTGAAAAGAAAACAAAAGAACGGGCCCCATAACATAGTAAATTTATTATTATTTTATTATGCATAGTGTTCAACACCATCAACTATAGTATTGTAGTAAAGATTCAAGTTTGAGATGCCTGGACAGACATTTGCACTTTGACAGGTGTTTCACTTCAAAGTCCATATATGATGATATATTTGAACTTTCATGTGAATTTTTTGCAATTGCACAAATATTTTGTGTCTTAAAATGAATAAAATAAGTTAATGCAAAGATAAAGTAAAAAGTGATATGTTTTTATCGAGTAAAGCTCCTATAAACTTAAGTGGATAGGAGCACTTGTCCACCAAACTTTTTATCCCTTAATTATGCTTCGAGATTTGTGCTACACATCAGTTAATGCTATCTTTGAGATTTGTGCCTTCATTTGTATCATATGCCAGTACAAATCTCAATACAAAATCAATGGATAAAAGAGCTGGTGGATAAATATGGCTCATATCCACTTAAGTTTATAGAAGCTTTACTCTGTTTTTGTCATTAGCCTATAGTTTTGCCCTAGATGTCCGTAAAACCAAACTCCATTAATACGAAACTGCCTTTTCCAGTTATGACCAAACTGAACATTCTAAAAGAGACGAAAAACAAAAAAACAAAACATGACATACTTGAAGAAGGTAATTTACACAAAAAAATTATTTGCCAAAAAGAGAAAAAAGTTACCTGGGTTATAACGGCCATAAATCACATCAGCGATAGCACGACCACCCTCTTGTCCTGGATATCCAGCCCACAAAATAGCACCAATCTTATCATTATCCTTAGCAAAAGATACATCAAGCCCTCCAGCCGAAAGTATAACCAAAACGATTGGATTCTTTGAAGCATTCGCAACTTCTTCAATGAACGAAACCTGACCGGGGTTTAGGAGCAATTCACGTCGATCAATGGTTTCACCCTCTATAGATGCATCTATACCCATAAATAGAACAGTCGCGTCTGCTCCACTTGTTGCGTTCTTCATTTGTCCAGTTACTGTTTTATTGTTGCAGTATAAGTCACATCCGAGCACATAAGTTACGTTAGCATCGGCTTGCAAGGCGTTGAGAGGGGTAACAAAGCGACATTGCGTGCCTGCGCCCAAAAAAAAAAAAAAAAAGGGGGTAGCGACGAACTACTTTGTGAATATTTCATAAAGCAAGTTTGCCCCAAAAAAAAAAAAAAAAAGGGGGTAGCGACGAACTACTTTGTGAATATTTCATAAAGCAAGTTAACGCGAAATTTTTACTAAGTTTATCAAACTTGTGTAAACTAGTACAACTATTTCCAATAATTTGTAATAAACTACCCGCGCGTTTTCATTGAACCATCTACAACATATAGCATGACAAAATTAGTAATGAGATATTGCTGTCCAGAAGGCTGGCTTGTATATATGTTCTATTATAACGTTATTTTCTCCTCCATAAACAGATATATGCTAGTTGTATTAAAACTTATGAGTAGGTCAAAAAAGTGAGCATTATTTGATAGAAATCGGAAACAATTAGGGTAAAGTCAAGTGGGATATTTTGTAGTTTTTTTTTTGTCATTCATGGTTTTGTGATAAGATTTCCTCATTAAACCATAACATTTCAACATAAAACACTATAATAGTCTGATGAATTATCGAATCGAAACTACATACGTTACCTGCATAATTTCCCTTCATAGCATCGGTAGCATTAACGTGAGTACCACCCAAAGCAAGCTTCTTATGTATATCTTTGTTCAACGGTAGAGTATTATTGACATTCTTCAACAACACAATTCCTTGTCTTGCTGCGTCGGCAGCTAAATCCATGTGTTCTTGTGTGCAAATGTGATCTGTGCCAAAAGAATCATATTTCTCCATTCCATCGAAAAATCCGACTCTCATAAGAACAAGATACAAGTTTTTCAAGGCTCTGTCGATTTCCTTCTCTCTTAATTTTCCTTGTTTAACGGCTAGTATAGCTTGGTCATGATGATCCCATCCACACTCCAAATCCAAACCTAAAACATGAATTTAAACATTAGTGGAAAAGAACAGGATAAATAAATAAATAAATAAATAAATATATATATATATATGTTTATATTTATATTTATATTTATATTTATATTTAAAAAAGAGAAGATACCGGCGTTAATCACTTTAGCCACCAATTCCTCCTTTGGTAGATTAAGCCATTTCTGATTATCGTGTAGATACTGATAAATGTAACAATCTGAAACGATGTACCTACAGATATATATAAATAACAAAGTATTATAAGCTACCATGTGTCAATAATATTAACATTTGCTTCTCAAAATTTAAATAATTTTACCCGTGCAAATTCCATTCCCCTCTAATAGTTTGGGTCAAGAGCTTTGGATCAGCACAAGAGGGAAAGCCATTGACTTGATTGTAAGAGCACATTGCGCTTGTAGAATCTCCCTCCTTGATGCACATCTCAAAGGGAAGATTGAATGACTCAACCATATCTTGCTCGGTTACCTTGTATTTACACAAGCAAAATTTTATAATTAAATGAAGGGAAACAAAATTATTAGCCACATATATCAATGTATGTAGTAATATATGTTGCTTTATTATTGAATAGGGTATTTTCAGCTTAAATATCAGCTTATATAATAATATATGGAGGGCAGCCCATTTTAGAAAATGGGCTTGTGAGTGGTCAGCCCTCGATCGATGTGCCTCTCTCTTGGCGGCTCATTTTCTTAAATGAGCTATATTCACAGTTTTCCCTAATATATATTGCTTTATTGCTTTATTTTTTAATAAACTGGACTGATTTATTTATGTAGCTTTAACATGTCCGTCTATAATTTATTTACAAAATGGATCCATTAAAAAAATTCAAGATTTTACCATTTAAGGTTTCTTAGCGATATATCAATTACTACTTCTATAATAAAAACTTTAACAGAAAACTTATATGACAACGAATGTTGCATTCTGCTTGGATTTTGTTATGATTATCCTGACCCGTTTGCACCTGTAAAATTTCATTCGATATTTTTAACAAAATGCATGAAATCAAGAAATTCAATAAGCTGTATAGAAATGACTTACCCTAGCATTGAATGAGAATCGCTCCGAAAAATACCAATTCTCAATATCATAAGCAGCAAAATGCTTGCAACAAGAAGCAATCTTGATGGGCCTTGTGTTCAAGTCACTGGTGACTTCAAATCCTTCAACATCTTGCAATCCTCTAACAAAATTGACTGAGTATTTACCAATGGTGAATGCATCTTCTCCTGGCGTCTCCATGATTCTTCCCCATCTCGGATCTCTTGCTACATTGATCACTGGACTCCAAAATGTCAAGTATGTGTGGCCTAAGTTGTACATTGCTCGAGCTTCAGTTGAAACAGTCTAAAAGAAGAAAAACTAAGTTAGCATTAAAATATTAAACATTACTAATTACATGTGATGAACGGAAACTATTGGGAAAATAGTTGCATATTGCAGTATGGGTGAGATTCTATATCTTTTTGTAACAAAAAAAAAGACCAGTAAAGGAGGTTAAGATATTTATGATACATTCTTTCTAGTCTACTTTATCAAGCATAAAAATTCGTTAGTAACATATCTTGTAACTTTAAATCCATGTATACCATTAGTTGGGTCCTTCGTTGCGATATTGCAAAGTTATCAATTTTAAAAGTGTTTTTATGGATTTTTATTTCCTAATTTCAATATTCAAGAGGTTATATTATTTCACAAAAATTACATACTCAAAAACATACTGTTAGCTTAATTTCTATGTTTATCCTACCATTTTTTCGAAAGTCATTCATTTAAACTTTAAGTTGAAAAAAAAGCATGCAATTCTAATTTCATATAAAATGTTAATAAAGAATATAGATCTAAATACATCTTAGATTCATTAAAAAATGTTGCTATTTCCAAAGTAAAAAACCCCTAAAACAAACAATTTTCTCAAATAAATTATGTTGGTCAAACAAAATAGAAGTATAATACTGTACTAACAATTGCTCTCACATTCATAAATAAATCATAATGTGAGCAAACAATTAAGAAATACACAAAACTAAAACTAGATTACCTGAGCAATGGATTTCCACAAGGATTCATTAAACGATGCCACCGACAAGATAACCTCAGGAAACTGCGTAGCTCCAGGGACATCACCCCCGAAACTCGTGGCATGTCCAGGATCGAACTGTCCAACCGTGGAAACTCCGTGCAGTATCTCCGACCACCACTTATACTTCGGCAGTCCAATCCTATCGACTCCATAAGCATAGTCACTGATCTGGTGCACTTTCTCACCCACACTCATTCGACTGATCAAGTCATCTACTCGATCGTAGTACGAAAGACTCTTGTTGCAGTAGGCGAAGTTATTGATGTCGAGGCTCAGGGATTTGAACCGGGCTGGGTCGCATGCGAACTTGTAGTTTCGGTTGAGGGTTTGGATTGGGCCGGGTTGTGGGGTTGACGGAGTTGAGGTGGGCAGAGTTCTTGAGGAGGAGGGAGAGATTAAGAGGAGGAGAGAGAGGAGGAGAGAGATAATGGGAGCCATTGGAGTGAATTTTTTTTTAGCGAGAGGGAGTGAGGGTGTATATTTATAGAGAGAGGGAGAGATTGAGAGGAGATTTAATCTGATCATTATACCTGAAGGAGATTGAAATGCTGGCTATGGTTACAATCTCTTCAGTGTGATGGGTAGATTTTAACTGTTTAAAAGGATGAAGTTTCTAAACTAGTCGAATAAATGTGAATTGAATAGAATCTTAGCAAATTAACATACTCTTTGCCGCACGGGAGGAGTTCTCATGGATTTTTGTTGATTGCATTAACAGTTCGTGTAATTAACTGTTTTAGTTTTTGACATTATTTTGAGAATTATTATTAGAATTAGATTGATTTGCATCCTTGTTTAGTCACGGGAAAAGAAAGATTAATTAGTCGCATCCTTGTGCTTTAAAAGAATTTTTGTTCATAGAACTGAAGTATTACCCTGATTTATGTTTTAAACCAACCCAGTTACAAAGTTATTCTTAAACGCAAAATAACGTTTAAACCCTTTTTTTTAATTTAATCATTGGTATGTTGCTTTAGTTTTGTCTGATCAACTATGTGTTAGGGTTTTATCTAACCCCTGATACGATCTGGAAATAGAGATGAGAGAGAAGAGAGAGAAAACAATCACACAAAACATACAAGATTTACGTGGTTCACTTCTCGATGTGAGAAGCTACGTCCACGACCGTCGCAGGAGAAAATTTTACTATTTTCGTCAATCTTACAAGTTTTCCTAATCTCCCCTTTAATAACATAAGGGTTAATACAAACAGGATTCTGAAAAACAATTCATAAAAAATAGCCCAGACCCAAAAACCCGATTCGTAGTTGACCACAGAGACAGTTGCGGTCGACTACAAAAAGTCCAGAGACCAAATCCTGATTACAGGGCTTGGCGCGGTCGACCGCACATGTTATCGCGGTCGACCGCCAAAAGTCCAGAGACTTTCTGTGGTCTTGTGCACGTTCGCGGTCGACCGCCGCGCCACTCGCGATCGACCGTGAAACTCCCAAACTGTTTACTTCGTCGTTTTGCCTGAACTTCAACGTCGTTGTTCCTGTTTCTTCAATTCTTCCTGTTTCCTCTTCAAATAGAAGTATAGGGCAAGTCTGACAGTTAGGCTCCACATAACCTAACAATCTCCCACTTGGAGACTAACTTTCAATCTCTATCACTTCTCCCTGTGACGACGACCTCCCATATCATCAAGTAATGAGGCAAACTGAAGTTGGACACAACTTCAGTTTCTCCGTAGTGATAATCTTCGTAAGCATATCAGCCGGGTTCTTGCTTCCTTGAATCTTCATAAGTTCCAGCATGTCACCATCCAATGCTGACCATATGAAGTAATAACGGACCTGTATGTGTTTGGTCCTGGCATGAAAAACTAGGTTCTTTGCCAAATGAATGACGCTCTGGCTATCACACTGTAAAATACTCTTCTCACTTTTCTGTCCCAACTCCTCCAAGAATCCATGCAACCATATCAGCTCTTTACTAGCCTCTGTCACAGCAACATATTCTGCCTCTGTAGTTGACAAAGCAGCGATCTTCTGCAACTAAGAAACCCAACTGATGGCTATAGTACGTAAAGTGAACACATATCCTGTAGTGCTCCCCCTATGATCTATCTCACCATCATAGTCTGCATCAACAAAACCCTGCAGAACCAAATTGCCTCTCTTGAAACATAAACAATTCTCTATTGTACCTCGTAGGTACCTTAGAATCCACTTTACTGATTCTCAGTGCTACTCTCTTGGATCTGACATGAATCTGCTCACAGCTCCCACTGCATAGGCAATGTCAGGTCTCGTACACACCATGGTGTACATAAGGCTTCCAATGGTTGACGGATATGGAACCTTCATCATGTAACTTTTCTCCTCATCAGTCACTAGACACTGTTCCTTAGTCAATCTGAAATGACTAGCTAAAGGTGTGCTAACGGCCTTAGCACCACTCATTCCAAACCTCTCAAGCACCCATCTAATGTAATCGGCCTGAGATAACGGCAATGTGCCCAAGAGCTTGTCTCTGCTAATCTTCATCCCTAATATCTGCTTTGCTACGCCTAAGTCCTTCATGTCAAACTTACTCGACAACTACTTTCTTAGCTTCTTGATCTCACCCAAGTCTGAACCGGCCACTAGCATGTCGTCGACATATAGCAGTAAGATAATGTAGCTGATGTCAAGCTTCTTGAAGAAACAACAATGATCTGCATTGCACCTGGAGTATCCGTTCCTATGCATGAATCCATCGAACCTTTTGTACCATTGTCTTGGAGCTTGTTTCAGACCATACAAGATCTTTTTTAATCTGCAGACCATCCTTTCTTTTCCTTTCTGAGTGAACCCTTCTGGCTGCTGTATGTATATTTCTTCCTCTAGGTCACCATGGAGGAAAGATGTCTTCACATCTAACTGTTCGAGATGTAGATCTTCAGCTAAAACAATACTCAGAACCGATCTGGTGGTAGTCAGTTTGACTACAGGAGAGAAGATTTTGTGTAGTCAACTCCTTCTTTCTACTAAAATCCTTTGACCACCAACCTTTCCTTGTATCTCTTGGAACCATCATGTTCCTCTTTGATTCTGTACACCCATTTATTACTCAAAGCCATCTTCCCCACTGGTAACTTTGCAAGTTCCCAAGTCTTGTTAGAATTCAAGGACTTTATCTCATCTTTCATAGCAAGCTCCCACTTGCTTGCATCATCCACTCGACACGCTTCATCATAGTTTTCTGGCTCTCCACCGTCACTCGACAATAAATAATTTAAATGAGCTCTAGGCTGTAATGATGGGTACCTCGGATTTAGCTTGGGTACTCTAGCTGTCCACCTTAACTCTCTGACAGGTGAACCAAACTCTGCATCTACCTCTTCTGAAGTAGTTTCCTCCATCATCTATTCTTCAGTCTCTTCTTCTGCGTCCTCATCATAACTAGCTTCAAATTTGCTTCCTTCTGGAACATTATCTGGCTCAAAGTATGTAGGCTCTGACTGCACTAAGCTTGTGGAGTTAACAACATCACGGTCTTTGTATAGGACTGCTTTCTTAAATACAACGTCCCTGCTTCTGATGACTTTCTTGTTCTGTTCATCCAAAACTTATAGTCAAACTCATCACCACCATAGCCAATAAAATAGCATTTCAAGAACTCAGAGTCAAGTTTAATTCTAACATGATCACTCAAATGAACATATGAAACACATCCAAAAACTTTTAGGTGAGAAAAGTTTACCTTCTTTCCACTCCATACTTCTTTAGGTATTTTATGCTCCAAAGGCACTGATGGTCCCCGGTTGATCAGGTAGGCAGCTGTGTTGACTGCTTCTGCCCAGAATTGCTTTGGAAGTCCTGCTTGAAGTCGCATACTTCTAGCTCTTTCAGTTAATGTTATGTTCATTCATTCTGCTATACCGTTCTGCTGAGGTGTACCTGGCACTGTTCTCTCCAATCTGATGCCACTATCATAGCAAAACTTATTAAACTCTGAATCTTCATATTCACCTCCATTATATGATCGTAATTTCTTGACCTTCAATCCTGTTTTGTTTTCTACCATAGTCTTCCATCTCTTGAAGATTTCAAACACTTCTGATTTATGTTTCATGAAATAGACCCAAGTCTTCCTCGAGTGATCATCTATGAAAGTCACAAAGTATAACCGTCCACCAGTGGACTGTACTGATACTGGGCCCTATACATCTGTGTGAACTAGCTCAAGCTTCTCTTCATTCGGTGTTCTGCCGACTCTTTTAAAGCTTATTCTCTTTTGTTTCCCGAAGATGCAACTTTCACATAAGTTAAAATCAGCCGACCTCAAACCTGGTAACTTTTCATTTGACTACATAACCTTCAGGCCTTTGATACTCATGTGACCAAGCTTCTGGTGCTACAAATTTGGATATTCTTTACTTTCAACCACTACAATGGATCCACATGCATCTGTCATCATGTAGAGAGATCCACTCTTCATACCACGGGTAACAATCATAGACCCCTTGGTAACCTTCCATGTATCACATGCAAAGGTTGATATATTTCCCTCTTTTGCTAACTATCCTATGGAGATCAGATTCTTTCTCAAGCTAGGAACATGTCTCATATCATTCAGCTTCTATATAGACCTATTGAGTTCAATTTGTACCGCTCCTTTTCCAACTATATCACATGGTTGATCATCGCTAAGATAGATTTTTTCTAAGTTTCCTGAAACATCATTCTCAAATAAATCTCTATTTGAGGTAGCATGAAACGAAGCTCCTGAATCCAACACCCATGATTCTGTCTTGCTCTCCAACGAGCAAATAAGGACATCATCTGATTCTCCTGAGATGACGTTCACTTCAGTCTTGTTCTCCTTATCTTTCTTGGGTTCCCTGTACTGATTCTCATAGTGTCCAAACTTGTCACAGTTCCAGCAGTCAATCTCTTTCTTGTTTTTTTTTTGATTTCTGGATCTTGACCCGTCGTTCCTCGAATTAGGTCTTCCATGGCTATTCCCTCTAATTCTGTTTCTATTTCTGCCTCTGCTCTCAAAATTCAATATAGACCCTGAATTAGAAACTCCTTCTTCTTGTCTTCTTATCTCCTCGATCATAATCATGTCTACTACTTCTGAAAACTTCAATTTTGCTTTTCTACATGACCCGCTAATCGAAGTAATGGTTCCCTTCCAACTATCAGGTAACTGACCAAGTATTAAGAGGGCTTGTATTTCATCATCAAATTGAATATTGACGGAGTTTAGTTGATTCGTGATCTCATTAAACTCATTCAGGTGTTCCTTAAATTTTTAACTCTCAGACATCCTCAAATTAAACAGCTTCTTTATGATATGTACCTTATTCGTCGTAGAGGGTTGTTCGTACATACTAGATAGTGTAGCCAAGAGATCCGCCGTCGAATTCCGATTCTTGATGTTGAAAGCTACATATATGGACAGGGTCAAACTGATTGCTCCAAGGGCCTTTTGATCTAATAGCT